TTTCTCCCATGGTCGAATTGGTGGTGGTCTGGGCGCCGCCCATGCTGATCTTTCTCGCCGTCGGGATTTTTCCCGCGCGCGCCCGCGCTGCCGGCGCCATCTTCGCCCCTGCCCATTCTCGCGCCATCCAGACAAACGCTGATGTCCCACCGAAATGCGCCTGTCGCTGGGGGCCGTCGACAAGCTGAGAAAGAAGTCAGATATCATGCCACGTTGGGGATGGCGACACCCTTGACTGGCGCTTCTGCCGCGCTTCTGCCGCGCCACTCGGGAAGGCCCCTTCTGCGCGCGAAAGGAAAACTGCGCGCCGATCTTCGGCGGCCAATCTCGCGCGAATCGTTGAGGCCCTCGACGAGCCCCAGGGCGACTTCGAGGAAGGTGCCGTTCACAAGCGGCACAACATCATTCAGATCTCTCGCTCTCTCGGGCGAAGGCGTCGCTGGGAATCCCGCTCGCTTCCGACTTGTAAAATATTTGCATCTGGGCCATACTCTCGCCTGAACTGGGCGGCGCGCGTCGCGGCCGCGCCGATTCAAACTGAGACCGCTCGCTGCCCGCGCGCGCCTTCAAGGGCGCGCCCGCTTCTGCAGCGCTATCCAAGCTCAGGTTGGCCCGTCATGTTTGCCCGAGCGATGGAAACAATTCAGTGTTCTGAACGACATCGGAAGGCGCGGCCTCGCAACTCTCGGCGCCCCTTGAGCCCTGGCAATCCTGCCCCGAGCCGCCGTCGCTGGCCGGCGCAGCTGGGTCAGATCTTCGACGAGCTTCTCTGGATAATGCCCCTCCAAGGTCGCCGCGTTCAGTTGCTCGCCCCTGGGGCGCGCGATCTCGGCGGGACGCCTGGGCGCCGCCGCCTCTTTCGCAGGTCCACCGCGCTGCCGGGCGCACAACTTCCCGGTCTATATCGACGCCCATTCACGACGAAAATGGGGCACGCCCTACACGTTGGCGCCAGCCCACGCTGGCCGCGCAGTAGCACAGGACCTTCGGTTCTTGCGAGCGAGCCCGCGCATGGATGAGACCGCAAGGGTCGGCTGGATCCGCGCGCTGCCAAAACGCGCCCCACGCTGCCGAACGCCTCGGCGAGCTCGCCGACGGTGACAAAGCTGCGCTGCCTCGAAGAAACGCCGCGCAAGTGCTAATCCCAGTCAGCCGCGTCACGTTTTGCCATTTGCTGCCATCCTTCGGGCGCTGCCAACTTCGCCATGTCTGTTTGTTTGCTGCTGGTCGTCATTGTGGTTCGGGCCCTTCAGCTGCCCCGGGCCTATGGGGTCGTTTTGCTGTTTGAACCACGCTCTGATATGATCCCCCATGGGGGCCGGTCCGCTGGCGTGGCGTTGATCTGCTGCGCCCGTTCGCCTGGGATTCCTTTGAGGTGACCGCAGGTGGACTGCGGCTTCGCAACCCGCGCAAACTCCAGCAAAGTGGCGAAGCGAGCTCACGTCCTCGCAGGCGCGGTTGCCTGCTTCATCTCCTTGGCAAATGTCCCTGGTGTACCAGAGAGCGGGCCAGGGGTTCCATCGCCACGCAACACGTGCTGCGAGCTGTTTCCAATATCGGTGGCAAGACGGCCATCTGCATCCGCGCGCACGCCGACTGCGGAAATAACCCAGCCATTAACCAACATCGAAAATTAGTACGAAGCCAGAGAACACAGGCAAATACCAACGTGATATTCTTTCATGTTCCGGATCATAGTTGGCGTATAATTCGCAGCCTGACTGGCTGACATCGCATCCGAAGGTCAACCACTGCCGAGCTGGTTGAGCACGTCGATGTCGGGCAGCAGGTCCCTTAGCTGACACAGGTACACCTCGTGGTAGATGCCGGTCAGATCCTTGTGACGCAAGGCCGCAGCCTCCGTCCCCCCAGAATTACCCTACGTCTACGAGAAAATATCGTGGGACGACCTGGCCCAGATGTTGAAAATGCACGGCATGCTTCGCCTGATGTTGAAAATGCACGGCATGCCACGGCTCGCGTCGGCAGACGGCATGGTGCACAAGCTGTGCGTGCACATCCGCGGGGTGGTAGCGGGGTGAACCACCGCGGGCTGGATCATGCTCTTGGTACACAGGCTGGGCGAGATTGCGAAGCTGGTCGGCCTGTCGACCGTAGTGGACGACATCCATCTGCAATTTGTCGACCTGCGGCCCGTCATTTTTCACTGGATCACCGAACCGTGAAAGCGGCGGACCCGCAGCGAACTCATCCCGGACAGGCCGATCTTCAAGACTCCAATAGAAATGTGCTCCCTAACAACGCGCAGGTCACAACCGAGATAGCCCGCAACCTCGGGGTCGACTATGCCTGCTTCCGGGGGCCAGGGATGGCCGCGAGACACCAGCCCTCAATCACGGTCCTCGGGCGAGGGGGGAGCTGCTACGTGGCCGCGGGCGGTGCAGGCAGCTTGTCAACCTGGGCCTCAAGGCTCCCAGTATCTGGAGGGCGGGGGGGGGGTGGAGCGGGACTCGGCCTTGGCAGACCGCCGCGCACGCTGCCCTGTCTACGCGCGCTGCTCGGCGAGTGGAGACCCTCGATCTTGCCTTCCTGCCTGGCTCGCCCTCCTCACTCGACCCTGCCCCTTGCTTGCCCTGCCCAACCGATCCACATGCTTGTACAGGCACATTGGGGAATTTGTTTGTCACCAAATAGCGCACATCATAACCGATATCGACAATTCAACCGCTCCGCTGTAATCTTACGCCCTGGCCGGACTATGCCTGTGCAGCTTTCGGGGCTTCAGAGGGCTGCGGGCGCAAGCCGTGCATTGTGCTCGAGCCTGGCGCGCAAGGGGAGGGAGATGAGGAGAAAAATGGGAGGGAGGGCGAGGAGGGAGGACACCGCAGAACCCGAGAGAACAGATCTTCACATTGCTGCTGGTTGCCGAACGAGCCTTCCGTTCGCCGGGTGAGCGGGCGAGCGAGTGCTCGAGGGTGCGGGGCCCCGTCGTTGCCGCAATAGCGTGCGCCCTGGTGCCGGCGCGCTGCCCACGCCCGAAGGTGTGAAGACTGATCGCGGATGGCCAAGCGACGGACAAAAACGTGTCTCACGCCAGATGACGTAGCGACCTCACGCGGTGGCTTACGCGGGCTGCAAGGACGGCACGCTACATTGGAGACGAGGGCGCCTACGCGCGACCTGACGCGGGCAAATTACGCGCCAGTGTCGGCGCAGCTGAACCCATTTTGTTTTTGTTCCGTCGCCCAGCTGTGCCCAGGCGCTGCTTTGATGCTCGCCCATCGCGGGATCGAAGACAAGCTATTGGCGAGGGTCCGTCTGGGGTTTCCCTAACTCTCGGACCTATCGCACCTTCCATCCGTCGCCTTTCTCCAAAGCCTGTGCAAAACGGTCTGCTAACTGGATCCCCTGCTCAACGCCGCCCTTGGCTTAGGCTTCTGGCTGCCAACGTGGAATGGGACAATCTGAGAAAGCATGAAGTACAGTCAACCCGGATGAGAAGGATGCACGATAAGGATGCAAGGGCCTTGGAAAGCCATGCCGACACTTTGCGGGCGGGGCGCGGCCAGAGAAAGCGGCCAAGAATGGGCCGAAAGGGATGAGGAACCTTGGAAAAGTGTTCATCCTTACTATGGCTGTTAACTGTAGATGTAATGAGTGTAGGCTTGGGCCCGCATGTGCTCCTCACTGGCTGCGATTGGGCAGGTCGGAGATTCACCAGGGGCAGGCTCGAGACTACGAGACCCCAGCATCAGGCCGCCGACCTCTGGACCAAGATTTGAGATCGGATAGGCGTCTTGGGGGGGGAAGTGCACGTTCCGAAGGTCACAGTTCATGCTGGACGAGCTGACAGTAGGCTGCGCCCACGCCGATCGAGCTGTTCGGTTGGGGGCCCGTCGCCATCCGTAGGACGAGGGTACGGAGCAAGGTATGGTACGAACAGGTAACCGGATGAAGTTCGATTGTGACTACATGGTTCGCACTTTTCGAGCAGTGGGCCCTCCGATGAGAGTGCCGTGCAGTGGTCAGATTTGCATCGCCCGTAGGTGTGGCTGGGTTCCTGAACTCTCTGCCGGTTCGGGCCACCCTTCTGGAGTTCAGAACCCCATCGAAATGGAAGGGCAGCATCGCTGCCTCAGATGCCTCCGCACGGCCCGCTCTGCTGCCATCCTGTCTGCCCCGCGGTGTAACTTTGCGGACCGTCGCCGCACCGCTTGTCCTGAACGCGCCCAAACGGACGGCGCCGACACAGCGGCAAGCCCACGGCAAACCCTGTCCCGCGCCCCAGGTGGACGAAGCAAGCAGCGCCGCAAACCCCACGGCGAGCCCACCGCGCCCGAGGCGGCGTTTGCCCTGGTGGCCGAGGCGCCCTCTCCAAGACGGAAGGCCACGCGTCGGAACAAACGGCTCAGCGACATGTGGCACGGGGGGACAATACATACTGTGCGGTTTGCGGGTGCCACTCGGGTGCCAACTTGCAGCTTGTGGGCCACGACTGCCGAGGAGTGTGCAAGTTTAATGAAAGCAAGACTCGCCTCGCTCTGCTCTGGAGCGGGTCGGACTCTTGTGCAGGGCAGCCCCTCGACAGCGTGACCACGTCCAAGAAGTGCGGGCTTCGTCGGACGGGCCAGTGGAGCAGAGGAAGGCCTGCGTACGCCATGCGAGGAGTTCGCTATTGATGCCAAGTGTTCTGGCTTGGAGATCCTGGAGTTCGCGCCTGTAACAGGCCCGCGCCTTGTAAGAAGCAAGGGCTTGCTTCCGAGAAGCCCTCCTCCCTGCACCGCCCCCTCGTGTGGCCGAGGGCCTCTGGCTTTCTGATGTTCCAACCTACTTTAGCCTGGATCACCAGACAGAATTTCGAGCGCCAGAAAAGTATCCAACAACTCCAGGTTTTCACGCGTCGGGCCCTGGGAGACACTCGCCCGACACTCTTTCGACACTGCTTCGACACTCTCTCGACGCTTTTCCGGGCGCTCGAGATTATTTTCGGGGTGTGGTCCTTGAGTGCGATGGGAACGACATGACCCTGGCTTTCTCAGTCATGACCCGCTCGGACCGCCACCCGGCGGCGCGCCTCGAGCGCTCCACCAGCTCCGGGCGCGGTGCCAGAAGCCCCTGCGGGCGGCGCCGGCGCCCCTGCCGCCCGCGCCCCGGCCCAGGGCGCGCCGCGCGCTCTCCCGCCACTTCTCGGGCAGCGACCACTCCACGTCCAGGCGCTCGGCCAGGCCGCGGATGAGCTGCATCGCCTATGGCGCAGGGAGGAAGAGACCATCAGACAAAGACAGCTCCCGATTCTCAGGAAAAGTTAGCCAGCATCAAGAAACGATGGAAATATGCAAGAGATCCCGGGATGTGCGTGTCTGTGTGTATTTGTTTGGATGTCCCTGGGCCCTTCTGTGGCAGCACGCCAGAACTGAAGGCCAGCACCCCGTCCTGGCCAGGCCCCCCGCCATCCCTGGCGCGGCCAGGCGGGCGCACGCACGCACGCATGTACGCACCCGCCCGCCCGCCCGCCCGCCCGCCCGCACGAACACATAACTACACACACACACACGCACGCACGCACGCACGCACGCACACATAACTACACACAAACACGCGCACACACACGCATACATACACATACACACACACACGCACGCACGCACGCACGCATGCACGTACGCACACACAAATCAACATGAACACACACACACACACACACCCACACACACACACATACACACACAGACACACACATGAACACAAAACAACGCACACCACAGCACACCACACACACACACACAAACTTGTTTGGCGTCGCGACCCCGCGCGCAGCGACACGAGGCAGAAAGCTCGGAGAAGCGAGCGCGCACGCACGTCTGAAGGCCGAACCCTCAAGCCGCTTGGAACAAGCAGCGCCGGCAGCCGGTCATAAGTCATCCGGGCGTGCACACACACACACACGCACACACACACGCACACCGATCTTGGGCCAGGGATGTGGGCCTGAGCATAGCTCGGAATCTGTGTGCGGATTGGCGCCCCCCGTCGCCCGGCACGTCAGCACCCACTCCCGTGGGAAGTACGTGACGTCGTTCATGACGTTCCTTCGGGGGCGTCCAAAGAGGGGGGCGTCCAAGAGGGGGGGGGGCGCACATCATGGTCCGAGGCACGTGCGCGGCCAATGGGGGGCCCAGAGGACGCATAGAAATAAAAGGAGGCGGCGAGAAATCTGGGGAGATGTCACGGCCCTGGCCATGAGTTCCCCCCCCTATTGATCACCACTCTCTTGGCGGCCCCGATTCCTGGGCGAGAGCTCGTAGGCGCTGTAGCCGCCGGGTAGCTCTGGCCTGGACCAGTCCAGCACGAACAAGCCGAGGGCTACTGGGGCTAACTCATCGGCCGACTCGGAAAACTTGACCCCCATGCGCTGCCCAAGCCTGATTCCTGCGTCGTACTCTTCCTGCGTATCCGTGCAGTCTGCCACGAGAAGAACTAGCTCTGCGAACTCTCGGCGGAACTTGTAGCCGATGCGCTTCACCTGGCCAAAGTCAATGAGGGCCGGAGTGCCATCAGGCATGACATAGACATTGCCAGGATGCGGGTCTGCGTGGAAGAAACCCTCCTCAAGGATCATTTTCCCAAAAGCGCTGGTCAACGAGCTCAAGATTCGTCGCCCGACGACTTTAGCAACCGTTGCATCCACGACCGAATCGTGCTTCGAAAGCTGAGACAGTGACAAGCCTGGCACGAAGTCCATGCAAAGAACTCGTTTTGACACAAGGCCAGGAACACTTCTGGGAACGAAGACTGGCGGGCTCCCAACTTCGCTCAGTGTGACGGCGAGGCGGTCCATCGCGGATGCCTCGAGGCAAAAATCGAACTCGTCCTTTAACTGGTCCTCCAACTCTGAGAACACAGCGTAATCCGACACCGTACTCTCGGCACGCTGGAGCGTTCGTTTCAGAGCGTCTCTTGCGAAGCGGTGTGATACAGTCGGGCCTTGAATAGAAGACCGTCATTCAAGAACATGAGGCCTTCCAGAGGGCAGAACACCCCAAACCATACAATCACTCGAAGGTACCCTCCCCCAGATGAACAAGCATACGCAAATTAACATTAGGGTACCCTCCACGAACCGACCTCGATCTTATACCTCGGTCCGACCGTACGCAGCTGTGCGATATGTCCTCTGACATTGGTCAAAAACGCCCCCCTTGAACTGTGCACTGGCCTTTTTCCCGGCCTCAGGAAAGCCCTGAGGCCGTCCGGCACACACTAAATCTGCTGCACGATGCCCCAAGACCAGCCTGAGAGTGTCCGGCGACCTCACAACGGGTCACGACGTACCCAAAAGACCCGAGGAGGCCAAACGAAGTCCCCACGAGACGACCGCACAGTCCTCCAGTGAGGCCCCAGGTGGCCAACCATAATCCCACCAGCCCTCTAGGCGTAGGTGGTTTAGAGGGGTTGATCACAATTCCCCATTGATATACACCCCTTCCCCCAGGCGACTGGTAGCAAACCGCGAACCATGAGGGCACCCACCCACCATCCCTTCTGTAACCAACAATACAAACACACACTCTGCCTCCAAATTCGGAACATGCGCCACAAACCCGATGCGGCCTCCCCCCACCATCCCTATCAAAAACAATACCGAATACACTTGGTGGCGGCGGCGGCGGCGGTTGCGGCGGCGGCGGCGGTAGCGGCGGCGGCGGCGGCGGTAGCGGCGGCGGCGGCGGCGGGGGCGGCGGCGGCGGTGGCGGTGTCGGCGGCGGTGGCGGTGGCGGCAGCGGCTGCGGCGGCAGCGGCTGCGGCGATTTGGCAGCGGGGGCGGCGGCGGCGGCTGCGGCGGGCGGCGGACGGCGCGGCGGCGGCTGCGGCGGCGGCGGCGCGGCTTCGGCGGCGGGCAGCGGCGGCGGCGGCGGCGGCGGCGGCGAAAACGAAGGCGGCGAAGGCGGCGGCGGCGGCAGAGGCGGCGGCGCCGGAAAACCAAAACACAATTTGCCTCCAAATTCGGAGCATGTGCATTCAATCCGGTGCGTTTTCACCCCACCATCCCTGTCAAACGAAAAATACAGAGTACACTTTTCGGCGGCGGCTGCAGCTGCGGCGGGGGTGCGGCGGCTGCGGCGGCGGCATCGGTGGAGGCGGCGGCGGCGGCGGTGGCGGCGGCGGCGACTGCGGCGGCGGTGGCGGCGGTGGCGGCGGCGGCGGCGGTGGCGGTGGCACCAGCGGCTGCGGCGGCAGCGGCTGCGGCAGCGGCGATTTGGCGTCGGGGCGGCGGCGGCGGCGGCGGCGGCGGGCAGCGGCGGCGGCGGCGGCGGCGGCGGCGGCGGCGGCGGCGGCGAAGGCGGCGGAGGCGGCGGCGGGGGCGGCGGATTGGCCCCCAGTAGCTGCCTATCCAAAGACGATTGCTGAATATGCTGAGGCTCGGGCCAGACCCGGGTGCTACGTATGCGTTGGGAGGGCTTGTGGGAGTGAGCGAGACGGCTTGCGGGCGGGGAGGCAGTCTTGATCACTGTTCCCTATTCATATACACCCCCTCCCCCAGGCGACTGGGAACCAACCAGGGTCAATGCGGGCACCCCCCCACCATCCCTAATAAAACACAATACAAAACACACTCTGCCTCCAAATTCAGAGCATGCGCAACGAACCCGATGCGACTCCCCCCACCATCCCTTCCAATTATCCCGGCAAAGCAACCTAACAGCGATGTGTAGAAGCATATATGGAAACATTCCCCTTAAGATCCAGATGAGAATCCAGTTGTAGAATTCTCCTGTTCTCGCAGTCGCAGTCGCATTCGCGATGACAGTCGCAGTGGCAACGGCAGTCACAGTCACAGCCTCAGCCTCAGCCTGCCTCAGTATCAGCCTGCCTCAGCCTCAGCCTCAGCCTGCCTCAGCCTCAGCCTCAGCCTGCTTCAGCCTCAGCCTCAGCCACAGCCTGCCTTCAGCCTAGGCCTCAGCCTCAGCCTGCCTCAGCCTCAGCCTGCATCAGCCTCAGCCTCAGCCTCAGCCTCATCCTCAGCCTGCCTCCGCATCAGGCTGCCTCAGCCTCAGCCTCAGCCTGCCTCAGCCTCAGCCTCAGCCTGCCTCAGCCTCAGCCTCAACCTTTTCCTCAGCATCAGCCTGCCTCAGCCTCAGCATCAGCCTGCCTCGGCCTCAGCCTCAGCCTGCTTCAGCCTCAGCCTCAGTCTGCCTTCAGCCTCGGCCTCAGCCTCAGCCAGCCTCAGCCTCAGCCTGCATCAGCCTCAGCCTCAGCCTCAGCCTGCCTCAGCCTCAGCCTGCCTCAGCCTCAGCCTCAGCCTGCCTCAGCCTCAGCCTCAGCCTCAGCCTTCAGCCTCAGCCTCAGTCTGCCTTCAGCCTCAGCCTCAGCCTGCCTCAGCCTGCAGCCTCAGCCTCAGCCTCAGCCTCAGCCTGCCTCAGCCTCAGCCTCAGCCTGCCTCAGCGTCTGCCTCAGCCTGCCTCATCCTCAGCCTCAGCCTCAGCCTCAGCCTCAGCCTCAGCCTGCCTCAGCCTGCCTCAGCCTGCCTCAGCCTCAGCCTGCCTCAGCCTCAGCCTGCCTCAGCCTCAGCCTCAGTCTGCCTCAGTATCAGCTTGCCTAAGCCTCAGCCTCAGCCTGCCTCAGCCTCAGCCTCAGCCTGCTTCAGCTTCAGCCTCAACCTTAGCCTCAGCCTCAACCTTTTCCTCAGCCTCAGCCTCAGCCTGCATCAGCCTCAGCCTCAGCCTCAGCCTGCCTCAGCATCAGCCTGCCTCAGCGTCTGCCTCAGCCTGCCTCAGCCTCAGCCTCAGCCTCAACCTCAGCCTCAGCCTCAGCCTGCCTCAGCCTCAGCCTGCCTCAGCCTCAGCCTCAGCCTGCCTCAGCAGCAGCCTGCCTCAGCCTCAGTTGGCTACGGGCATTCAAAATGTGGCCCGGGAATGGAGTTCTGGGAACTCGAAGAGCACGAAGTGGCCTACAGTTGGCTCCGGGCATCCAAAATGTGGCCCGGGAATGGAGTTCTGGGAACTCGAAGAGCACGAAGTGGCCTACAGTTGGCTCCGGGCATTCAAAATGTGGCCCGGGAATGGAGTTCTGGGGACTCGAAGACCACGAAGTGGCCTACAGTTGGCTCCGGGCATTCAAAATGTGGCCCGGGAATGGAGTTCTGGGAACTCGAAGAGCACGAAGTGGCCTACAGTTGGCTCCGGGCATCCAAAATGTGGCCCGGGAATGGAGTTCTGGGAGGTCGAAGAGCACGAAGTGTGTGACTGTTGGCTTAAAACGACTTCTGCGGCACCCTGTCCGGCACCCGCCCAGACCCCCCTGTGGAGTCATCTGCTGCTCTCTTTTTAGCCCATTAGAAACCTATCAGTCTTCGCTGTTAGGTAAAAACACTATCCCGGCAAAGCAACCTAACAGCGATGTGTAGAAGCATATCTGAAAGCATTCCCCTTAAGATTCAGATGAAAATCCAGTTGTAGAATTCTGCTGTTCTCGCAGTCGTAGTCGCATTCGCGATGACAGTCGCAGCGGCAACGGCAGTCGCAGTCACAGCCTCAGCCTCAGGCCTGCCTCAGCCTCAGCCTCAGCCTCAGCCTGCCTCCTCAGCCTCAGCCTGCTTCAGCCTCAGCCTCAGTCTGCCTTCAGCCTCGGCCTCAGCCTCAGCCTGCCTCAGCCTCAGCCTGCATCAGCCTCAGCCTCAGCCTCAGCCTGCCTCAGCATCAGCCTGCCTCAGCCTCAGCCTCAGCCTGCCTCAGCCTCAGCCTCAGTCTGCTTCAGCCTCAGCCTCAGTCTGCCTTCAGCCTCGGCCTCAGCCTCAGCCTGCCTCAGCCTCAGCCTGCCTCGGCCGCAGCATCAGCCTGCCTCAGCATTCAAAATGTGGCCCAGGAATGGAATTCTGGGAACTAGAAGAACACGAAGTGGCCTACAGTTGGCTCCGGGCATTCAAAATCATGCCCAGGAATGGAGTTCTGGGAACTTGAAGAGCACGAAGTGGCCTACAGTTGGCTCCGGGCATCCAAAATGTGGCCCGGGAATGGAGTTCTGGGAAATCGAAGAGCACGAAGTGGCCTACAGTTGGCTCCGGGCATCCAAAATGTGGCCCGGGAATGGAGTTCTGGGAAGTCGAAGAGCACGAAGTGGCCTACAGTTGGTTCCGGGCATCCAAAATGTGGCCCGGGAATGGAGTTCTGGGAGCACCAAGAGCGATTTTGCGAGGATGTCCAAAGCGATTTCGGCTTCGGCGGCAGCTTCGGCGGCAGCCTGTCCGGGTCCCGCCCAGACCCCCCTGAGGAGTCATGATGCTCTGTTTTGACACCACTAGGAACCTATCAGCAGGAGCTGTTAAGTAATTACAGACTGCACTTGGCGGCGGCGGCGGCTGCGGCGAGGGCAGCGGCTGCGAAGGCTGCGGCGGTGGCGGCGGCGGAGCCGGCGGCGGCGGTGCCGACGGCGGCGGCGGGGGCAGCGGCGGCGGCGGCGGCGGAGGCGGCGGCGGCGGCGGCGCGGCGCCGGCGGCGGCACCGGTGGCGGCAGCGGCTGCGGCGGCAGCGGCTGCGGCGGCGGCTGCGGCGGCGGCGATTCGGCAGCGGGGGCGGCGGTGGCGGCGGCGGCGGCGGCGGCGGGCGGCGCGGCGGCGGCGGCGGCGGCGGCGGACAGCGGCGGCGGCGGCGGCGGCGGCACCGATTGGCCCCCAGTAGCTGCCCATCCAAAGACGACTGATGCATTTGCTGCGGCTCGGGCCAGGCTCGGGTGCTACGTATGTGTTGGGAGGGCGGGTGGGAGTGAGCGAGACGGGGCTTACGGGCGGGGAGGGCGTCTTGACCCCTCCCCCTACCCCCTCCCCTGGACCTCGACGGGGGGTTCCGCGACGCGTTGGAGCGTCCAAAACGGCCTCGGCGAGGAAGCCCAATTCATTGGTTTTACTCTGGTGTTGGCCCCATTT